CATTCCTGCAGGAAATGACCCCTGCCTATTGATGTCTTTAACTTTTGGCCCTTTACTAGTTTTCTAAACTTCCTTTGGAGGTTTTTGCGTGGTTCTGGGATTGCCAGACAAGTAGCTGTGAAGTCTGTTTCAATTGCCCCGGGGGAGCTCAGACATCTTGTGCTGCATCCCACAGTGTATGGGAGAAAGTCATTTCTAAATTCCTCCCTCTGTTCAAGAGTGGTTTTCTCCATCAGACCACAGTTTGAGTCCAGCGGCACCATTAAGACCGACAAAGTTTCATCCTGGGTATAAGCTTTCCCGTGCATGCACGCTTTGTGCATGCACAGGAAACCTTATACCCAGGATAAAAAAATTTCGGTCTTAAAGGCACCACTGGGGTCCAACTTTGCTCTGCTGCTTCAGACCGACGCAGCTGCCCTTTCTCCATCAGTCAGCCACCGGCTCCTCCTTTCTCAAAAGGGGAGAGCCAGCCAATCAGGGTTTTACATGCAGAGATCAACGTTTGCACTAAGAAACACAACCAAGTCCGTATGTGACAGTTGCCAAAGCACTGGAGCAAACACTCATCACACAAGTGGTATTCAGGCAACACGCTGAGAAGGAGCTCTCCCAGAGATGGCGGAGGGCTGATGTCAGTCCAGGGCTCATTTCCTGCAGGAGCACACAGGAGTGGAGCTCCGGCAGTAAGGAGCCCAGGGGGCGGGCACAGGCAACAAGCCCCACCTCCTGCTCCCAGCAGCCCTCAGTCAGAGCAAGAAGCAGCCAGGTAAGTTGCAGAGCGCCCCCCCCCCGGTCCAAAACAGTCCAGTGGCACCTTTAAGACCAAGTTTTATTCAGGCACAAGCTCTGCACGTTGTCCCCCCCCATAGCTAGCAATCCAAAACAGTCCAGTGGAGCCTGAGCGGTGGGTGTTGCCTTCTGACACACTTCCAGTGAGGTCAGGGGGTGTGGCATATGCAAATGAGTAATGCTAATGAGTTATGCTAATGAGTAATGCTAATGAGCTCCTGCACCTCCTTTTCTACGAAATGACCCTTGAAGCAGACAATACTCTTTCAAAGAGCAGCAGTCCATCAGTGGATATTAGCCACAAGGTCTAGATCAGGGGTGTCAAACTCATTTGTGATGAGGGCAAGATCTGACATGAGACCTTGTTGGGCCGGGCCATGTGTGTCATAAAATGTAACACCAGGTAGCGGAGATATAAACTTTATAAAGGACACAAACACAAAGGTTTTTTTTTTACTTAGAATAAAAACATGCTTAAAAACATCAGCACTCTTGCAATATTTCGTTTATTTAACCGTCTCTGATAACTGACACCTCTTGCTCTGAATTATTGCATCCAAATGTCTGTGCTGTTGCAATCTTGAGTATGCTGTTAAGGTGTGTATCTGTAAGCTGCAAACCTATGATGATGCAGCAGCAGCAGCAGGACTGGAAGAAGCAGCAGAAGACAGCCAGTTCCACTGCGGGTCTGATAGAAGCCCTCCGGGGGCCTAATCTGGCCCCCGGACTGCATGTTTGACACCCTTGGTCCAGTCTGTCTGGGGCAATGATGCTCTGTCTTCTTGGTGTTTGGGGGGCCACAGTGGGAGGCCTTCTGGTGTTCTGGCTCCGCTGGTGGACTTCCTGAGGGCCCCTGGGTTTTGGCCACTGTGTGTCACAGATGGGCCACTGGCCTGATCCAGCATGGCTTCTCTTATGTCTGGGGCAGTGATGCTCTGTCTTCTTGGTGTTTGGGGGGCCACAGTGGGAGGGCTTCTGGAGTCCTGGCCCCGCTGGTGGACCTCCTGAGGGCCCCTGGGGTTTGGCCACTGTGTGACACAGAGTGTTGGACTGGATGGGCCACTGGCCTGATCCAACATGGCTTCTCTTATGTTCTTATTCAAAGGGGGCTCCATTACACTTCGGCAAATAAATAAATAAAATGACTACTAGTCTATACTTCCCAACGTGGTTGCCTGGAACTGGTCCGAGTTACCAGAGGTGATCAAGCAAGGGGGCTATATACTGACAAGCCAGCATTTTTTATTATCAAGCGGATGGGCTGACTTATTGAAAGCCTGCAGTTAAGATGACACTGGAAAACTGAGTCACAGATGCACACTGTTACATCACAGGTGTGACATCACAGACCGGAAACACCAGTAGAGGTCACACTCTCCTACACACACGAAACCCACAATCTGGACTCCAGATGGTGGGTTTTGTATGCGTGGGAGGGTGCGACCTTCTTCAGGAACTGGACCAAGAAAACATGTGAAACACCTTTGTGTCAATACTCTGCCCTGAGCTAAACATTCCCATTTCAACTGGGATAGAAAATTTTTTCATTTGAAACATTTTAACGTTCTTTCCACACAATCGGGGGGTCCACAACATGGCAAACGTTCAAAGAATCTAAACGTTTAAACAATTACAAATGCAGTTAAAATGCTAAAACAATTTCATTAAAAGCATATAAACAAACGATGCTGGGAGGAGGGCTTTCTTGTATCTGTAATTTCTCTTGATCTCTTCCAGTTTCTCAGTGTATTTCGTCATACTGCTACCTGTGTCAAGGCGAGTTTTTACATGCTGATATTTAGGATTCTGTGGGATCCTTTTGGTCAAAAACTGCTTTTGAAAAGAGAAAGAGAGAGAGAGGAAACTGTGAAGGCTACAGAGGCAATACCCGATGCCCTTTGTGAAGAACCACCACTGCTGAGGAAGAGAGACATCATCAATGAAATAAGGAATGAAGGAACAGCCGGGGTGGGGAGACGCAACCCCTAAGCTCAAGGGTGGGCCTTCTTCAGGTAGCCAAGAGGCACAGGCAGCTCTTGATCACACCAAACACCCAACGGTCGCCTCCCGTGGCGAGATCATAGAATCATAGAACCACAGAGTCGGAAGGGGCCACCTAGTCCGGCCCCCTGCCCAATGCAGGATCAGCCTAGAGCACCCCTGACAAGGGTTTGTCCAGCTGCTGTTTAAAGACTGCCAGTCGGAGGGTGTTCACCACCTCCCTGGGCAGCGGATTCCACTGTTGCACAATTCTGATTAAAAAATTTTCCTAAGATCCAGCTGGTACCTTCCCACCCTCAATTAAAACCCATCCTTGCGAGTCCTCTCCTCTGCTGCCAATAGGAACAGCTCCCTGCCTTCCTCTGAATGACAGTGTAATGATTCCTTGTTTTTTTTGTGTGTGTGTGTCTCTCTAAAAGTTTGGTTGCATGGCTGTGGTAGATAGACTAGAGTGGTTGAGAGAGGCAAATGTGGTATGATTGGTGGTTGACAGAGAGGGGCAGGGGTTTTGGGAAGTGAATCTGGGTGGATGAGTATGTGAGTCAGTCAGGAGTTTCAGTTACATGTTGACAGTTGATATACACAGGCAGTTCTGTGTTGAAGCAGTTAGAAGCGGACAGCTGAGGTTGTTCAGTGAGAAAGAGAAAGAGAGCTGAAAGCGGAGTGAATAGGAAAAAGTAAAGGAAAGTTTAAGTGAAGAAAAGTTAAAGGAAAGTCTGTGTGTCATAACAAACTGGAGTGAAACAGTGAACATATATGGCATTGAGATAAACAAGTGTTACAAAGTTACAGGGAAAGATCCCTCTCAGTAAGGGATAAGATTGAGTGTGATACCAAAGCAATTCTACATCATTTACACATTACTAGTTTCATTATATCACCTTCTTATTTAGTATTTATTTCAATAAATCCTCTTTTATCCATGTTTATACCAGCTCTGAATGAAATACTTCCCAGGACCACATAGTTCCTCGTAAGCCTTAAACTCAGTCTACCAAACTAGTAAGAGCAACATTATAAGCATAAAGGTTTGGAAATTCCTTAAAATTTCCTGGTGGCAGCAGAATATACCCAGGTAAACAAAATAAAGAGAACTTTTAAAGTGAAACTAGTCCTCCCCAATAAGGAGGACGTCACAGACAGCCCTTCAAATCCTTCAAGAGAGCCGTCCTGTTCCCCCTCAACCTCTTCTTCTCCAGACTGAACGTGCCCGAGGCCCTCAGCCTTTCCTCCTAGGGCTTCTTGGTCTCCAGGCCCCCGATCACCCTCGTCACTCTCCTCTGCACCCACTCCATTCTGTCCACATCCTTTTGGAAGGGAGGCCTCCAGAACTGCACACAAGACTCCAGGGGTGGCCTGACCAAGGCAGCATACAGTGGGACCAGTGTTCCCTCTAAGCTGAGTTGATGTGAGCTGGCTCACAGTTTTTTAGCCTCCGGCTCACCCATTTTTGTCTTCGCTCAGGAAGGCGGGCTCCAGAGCAAGTTAATTTAATGCCAGGAGCTCACAAAGTAAGAGTTTTTTCTCACAAGACTCCACAGGTTAGAGGGACCACTGAGTGGGACTCGGACATCTTGCGAACTGGATGTTATGCCTCTGTTGATATCCCTGCGGCATCCGCCAACGCAACATAGCTTCTGGGTGCCAGGCCTTGGGTGCACGGATAGGCCAAATGCAGACTTGGCATCACGAGGCCTGGTTCACCTGCTAGTTCGGTGAGCCACCTAAAAGCCCTCCCCCCCCAAATGTGATCATTTTCAAACAGCAAGACCTGGAGGTATTATTTTGGATTGAATCCTTTCGCCCCACCGGCACTACTTACATGACTGCTTCTCTCTCCTACACTTTCACACACTCACAAGAGCTGGAGTTGTCACCACACCCGCCCCACATTTGATCACAGCTGGGATTGCCAACCTCCAGGTGTGGCCTGGAGATATCCCGCTATTAAGAGTTGATCTCCAGATGACCGAGGTCAGATCCCCTGGAGAAAATGGCTGCCTTGAAGGGTGGACCGTATGGCACTGTACCATCCTGAGGACCTTCCCCTCCCCAAACCCTCCTCTCCCCAGGCAAAAGCCCCCCCCCAAATCTCCAGGTATTTCCCTACCCAGAACTGGCAACCTTAAGTCCACTCAACCCCCTTTCCAAAGCTTTCCAGTAGCAGTGATTTGGGATCCAGACACATGTTGAAGAAGAGATTGGATTTATACCCCATCCTTCACTACCTGAAGGAATCTCAGAGTGGTTTACAATCTCCTTTCCCTTCCCCTCCCCACAACGGACACCCTGTGAGGGAGGTGGGGCTGAGAGAGCTCTTTCGAGGACCGCTCGAGAGTAGAGGAGATTGGATCTTGACCCCGCCCTTCATTTGGAGTCTCAGAGCAGCTTACAAATGCCTTTCCCTTCCCCTCCCAACAACAGACACCCTGTAGGTAGGTGGGGCTGAGAGAGCTCCTTCGAGGACTGCTCCTGAGAGAACAGTTCCGAGAGAACTGGTGACTGACCCAAGGTCACACCAGCAGCTGCATGTGGAGGAGTGGGGAATCAAACCTGGTCCTCCCACATTAGAGTCCGCGCGCCTAACCAGCACACCAAACTGAAGCAAAACGCAACAGCCAATTCACTACGAGGTCACCGAAGCCAGAATCCTACCTGGGATTTATTCAACTGGCATGTCTAAAAGCAGTTGTGTGAATCAGTGGCAATGGGGGAAAATCCACCATTTGCTTCCTGCGTGGCAAAAGACGGGGAGGCTACGACCTGCACTGCAGTCAAGGCCAGAGGCCAAGAATTTCACAGCCCGCTCATGTGTGGGAGGAGAGGAAGTGGGATCATAAATCCGCACAACGCTGCACAAGCCTCAGTGCGAGGACTAACTTGGTGACATCTTTAAGACCTACAACGTTTGAGTATGAGCTTTGGTGTGCGTGTGCACTTGTTCAGATGCCTAAAGAAGTGCGCGTGCAGACAAAAGCTGATATCCAGAATTAAACCTGGTTGGTCTTAAAGGTGCCACTGGACACCAACTTTGCTCTGTTGCTTCGGACCAACACGGCTGACCACCTGAATCTAACTTTAATGCATTCAGGGCTATTTTTGGGCAGGAATGCACAGGAACGGAGTTCCGGCTGGCTCGCAAGTTGGCCACGCAAAGCAGGAACTCATTAGCATAATAGGCCACACCCAACAGCAGGAACTCATTAGGATTGGCTACATTAGGGGTGTGTGGCCTAACATGCAAAAAGCCCTGGGCTTTGAAAACAAACAAGGTAAACAGAATAACAAGCAAAAGGTGGGTGTGGCTGGATGACCACACTTCTGGTAACATTGGGGTGCGGCCTAATGTGCTAATGAGCTGTGCTGGCAGGGGTGTGGCCTAATATGCTAATGAGTTTCTGCTGTTGGGTGTGGCCTATTATGCTAATATGTTCCTGCTGGGCTTTTTCTGGAAAAAGAGCCCTGAATGCATTTATCTTGTAAACTTAGGAAAACAAGAAAATAAGTGCAGGGACCCAGCAATTTATGCTTTGCCAGAAAATACAGCATTCACCAGGTCTAAATAAATAACGCAGAAACTGACTGCTAGAATTGAGGAGGGGGATAAAGGTTCAGAAATCTCCCCATCAGTCAGTACAAGGAAACTGTGCCTTTCGACTCCAGCCAGGACACTGGAAGGCAGGAATCAGTTCACTAAGCAATTATGGAAATCTTACTGACATGCTTGGTTTCCCAATATCGTTTTTAAGAGGCTTCCTTTAAGAAAATTAAAATTGACAATTCAGGGAAGGGCCCTGCAAGCGGCACAGAGGGAACAGACCGATTGCGGTTTCAGCGTTGGTGGCGCGGCACAATTGTGGCTCCCCACACCCCGTCTCCGATCCACTTTGGGAAGCTTCGTGAGTGGGCCATGCGGCATGCAAACGGAGTCCTGGTCCTACAAGTAGTCACATGAATAGCGGCTGAACCCACCCGTCACCATGCAATGCAAGGGACACGGCAAACGTTCTGCACAGCGCTGTAAATCCTTTGTTCTGTTCATATGCTCAGAAACAGGCACGTTAACAAGCAACTCCCACACACAGAGGCCGTGATTTTGGATGCTACCGACATTTTGTCCGAACGAGGGGAGAGCAGTTATGCGCCAACTGTGGTTTGGGTTCAAAGAAACAGTTCCGCAGGGCCGAAATTCCTACGAGCATTTGGAACCAGGTTTAAAAACAGGCCATCGACGTGCAGTCTGGATTTCATGACAAAACATGCAATGAAAGTTATCCAGATTGGGGTGATATTTTTTTCAGGAATCCCCAAAGACGGTACACAGACGAGAGCGACGAGGATGATCAGGGGTCTGGAGACGGAGCCCTACGAGGAAAGGCTGAGGCCCTGGGAATGTTTAGTTTGGAGGGGAGGAGATTGAGGGGGGACAGGATGGCTCTCTTTCAATATTTGAAAGGCTGTCGTTTGGAGGAGGGCAAGGAGCTGTCCCAGTTGGCAGCAGAGGTTAGGACACAAAACAGTTTAAATTACATGCAGAAAGGTATCGGCTGGATATTGGGAAACACTTTTTCCTGGTCAGAGTGGTTCAGAGGTGGAATCAGCTGCCCAGGGAGGTGGTTAGCTCCCCTTCACTGACAGCTTTCAAGAAGAGGCTGGACGAATATTTGTCCGAGATGCTTTAGAAGAAGAAGAAGAAGAGATTGGATATATACCCTGCCCTTCACTACCCAAAGGAATCTCAGAGTGGCTTACAAACTCCTTCCCCTTCCCCTCCCCACAACAGACAATCTGTGAGGTTGGTGGGGCTGAGAGAGCTCTGACAGAAGCTGCTCTTTTTTCCCAAGAACATGGCTTGCCCAAGGTCATCCAGCAGGTGCAAGTGGAGGAGTGGGGGAATCAAACGCGGTTCTCCCAGATTAGAGTCCGCGCACTTAACCAGCACACCACAGTGCAAGTGGAGGAGTGGGGGAATCAAACGCGGTTCTCCCAGATTAGAGTCCGCGCACTTAACCACCACACCAAATTGGCTGGTCCTGCATTGGGCAGGGGGTTGGACTAGATGGTCTGTATGGCCCCTTCCAACTCTATGATTCTATGATTCTATATTCCTAAGGGGTAGGTTAAACTGACTGCCCATCACAGGTCTAACAAAGGGCTTGTATGACAAAGTTTGAGTCCGGTGGCGCATTTAAGACCAACAAAGTTTAATTCTCGGTATCAGCTTTCGTGTGCACGCACACTTCTTCAGATGCACATTTCCGTGCATGCACATGAAGGTTTATGCCCAGAATATAGTAGGAAAGAGGAAGAGTCCAGTAGCATCTTAAAGACTGACAAAATCTGTGGGAAGGTATGAGCTTTTGTGAGTCACTGCTCATTTCTTCAGATACACCCAGAATAAAACTTTATCAGTTGTAAGGGTGCCCCTGGACTCAAACTGTGTTCTGCTGCTTCAGACCAACATGGCTACCCACCTGAAAATAGCTTGTATGTGTGTGTGTGGGGGGGGGGTCCCAGCCAATGCTCCCTCTAAGCTGTGGAGTCTTGTGAGCAAAAATTCTACTTTGTGAGCTCCTGGCATTAAAGTTGTGAGCAAGCGATTTGGCTACTGCATAAACTAGTTTGCTCCGGAGCCATCCTTCCTGAGCTAAGACAAAAATGTGTGAGCTGGAGGCTAAAGAACTGTGAGTTAACTCACACTAACTCAGCTTAGAGGGAACACTGGTCCCACCCTTTGTAGACAAGAGCTAAAACAGAACACAGGATCCTAACGTTCAAAAGAATGCAAAGGCCACACAGTTGATCCATCTGTTAAGCTGCAGGAACACTTTACGCCTCTCCAATTACCCCACTCCACAACTCAACCCAAATACGCCACATTCACCCACCCCAAAGCCTAAACATGATATCTCCAACCGGAGAAATTCTTCTCCATATCCACAGCAGAAACTTGAACTCAGGTCCCCTGACTTTTCAGTCAAGCTTTCAAGCCACAACACCCCTCTGGGTCACCAGGCATCAACCAGAGTACATCAGAGTAACCAAGGGACAGTCTAGGGTAATTTCAAGGGTTTGGATTATTTGCGACCAGAAGCAACTTCAGAGGGAACGGAAAGCGTCCCACATGCGATTAATGAAGGAGAGTCAGAGTCTACCTTACAAGATATTTTTATGGCCTGTTCATTAGTTAAAATGTTTATATCTCCCCATTCTAAGAATCATAGAGTTGGAAGGGAGCTCCAGGGTCATCTAGTCCAACCCCCTGCAGAATGCAGGAAATTCACAAAGACCTCCCCCTCCACACACCCAGTGTCCCCAGTTCCACGCCCAGAGGATGACAAAAACCCTCCAGGATCCCCGGCCAAACTGGCCTGGAGAAAAATGGCTTCCTGACCCCAAAGTGGCCATCAGCATTTCCGTGGGCATGACAGAAAGGGCCACGAGAACTATGGCTTCATGGCCCAAGGCCGTTTACAAATTAGAATTTAAAACATAAATAAGAAACCCACCTCCCCGCTACAGAATAACGGCATTTTATATAAAAGTAAACGCCCTGGCAAATAAAAGGGCATTTCAACACCACCCAAAGATTGCTGAATGAACCACGAATGGGAATTTCACAGTTCCTGGGGAGTTGTGCAGGACCCTTCAAGATGGGGGAAAGGGAAAAACCCTCAAGATTTGCTTTATCCACTTCATTTATAGCCCACCCTTTCTCCCCAGTGGAGGCCCAAAGGAGCTTACATCGTTTTCATCTCCTCCATTTGGTCCTTACAACATCCCTGCGAGGTAGGTCAGGCTGGGAGTATGTGACTGGCCCCAGCTTCTATGGCAGAGCAGGGATTCGAACTTGCGTCTCTAACACTTTAACCACTGCACCAGGCTGGCTCTCGCCAGGTGAAGGATAAAGGGAGACAAAAGCGGGGTGAAGGGAAAAACAGACGACCGGATTTTAACAGGGAGATGGGTGGGGCAGTATGAATGGATGGGGGAGACATTGTGTCAACCCAGGGCAGATGTTTGGCATTAATGATTGGGGTGTCAGAATTCGGGCTACTTTGGGACACAAGGGGTAATCCCAAACCAGAAGGGAAGATTTATTTATTTATTTGATTGATTTTTACTACCCCTGACCATCCCCACCTAGGCAGGCTCAGGGCGGCTTACACAAGAAGCAATAAATAACACAGCAATATAAATATCAATGTAAAATACACAAAAATGGTTAAAACCATTAACGTAACAATGATGGCAGTATAACGATGAACTACCCACCCTTCAGTTTTTAATAGGGGGGGGCTTCTTTACGAGATCCCCACAAAGACCCAGGACAGATGTACGTTGCACGTGGGAAACCATATTAATTCGAGGAATGAATCAGTGCTTGGTTCTCGTGGCCCTTTCTTACACGCCCAGGGAAATGCTGATCGCCACTTTTCAATTGTCCTCCAGGCCAGTTTGGCTGGAGATCCTGGAGGTTTTTGGCCATCTCCTGGGCTTGGAACAGGGGTCACTGGGGGTGTGGAAGGGGAGGTAAATTTCCTGTCTTCTGCAGGGGGTTGGACTAGATGACCCCGGAGGTCCCTTCCAATTCTAGGATTCTATGAAACCTTCAATACAGAATAGGGGAGCAGAGAGGAGGGAAAAGGACACCCAGGATTATGGTAGGGCAATGGGGGCAGCAGTGCCAATGAGGGGAAAGCCCCCCAACCTGATGCATGGCATTTATGAAGGGGAGGCGGATTTAGGGGCCCTTAAGGGAGACCTCAAAAAACAGAGACGAAGGGGGTGGGGAGAAGCCCCCGCCCCGATTTTAATAGAGAGGTAACGGGGCGGCCTCTGGGGAGCATCTCCATACACGACTGGCAATTTTAGGGGGGGCTCTGGGATAGAGGGGAGGCCCCAAACCAGCGTGGGGAAACCAGAGGAGAAAAGATAAAAGGTCAAGGTTTCCTTTGCTCGAAAGCCAGTCGAATCCGATTCTAAGGATGCGGCACTCATCTCTGTTTCCAAGCCGAAGAGCCAGCGCTGTCCGAAGGCATTTCCCTAGAGAGCAGAGTTGCCAACCTCCCAGTGGTGCCACAAATAAGACCCACCAAGGGAAGACCATTCAACAATTCACAACTATATGTGACCAAGATGGCATATTATGTTCATTAAATAACAAAGATGGGTTAGCGGTCATAACTCAAATAGAATGTTATAGGCACCTATCCGACAGATTGCTCATGACAATTAAGCATGATTCACAAAAAAGAACATGTCCAAAGCCGAAGAAGAAGAGACTGGATTTATACCCCGCCCTTCACTCGGGAGTCTCAGAGCGGCTGACAATCGCCTCTCCCTTCCCCTCCCCACAACAGACACCCTGTGAGGTGGGTGGGGCAGAGAGAGATCTTTCGAGGACTGCTCGTGAGAGAACAGCTCTGAGAGAACTTGTGCCTGACCCAAGGCCACACCAGCGGCTGCATGGGGAGAAGGAGTGGGGAATCGAACCCGGTCCTCACAGATTAGAGAACCCAACCACTCCTAAGTTCCAATGTTCCCTCTAAGCTGTGGAGTCTGGTGAGCAAAGATGCTACTTTGTGAGCTACTGGCATTAAAAAAATAATAATTGTAAACCGCTAAGAGACCTGTTAGGTTAGAGCGGTATATAAATTGAAGGTATAAATAAATAAATAAAAATTAAAGTTGTGAGCGAGCAATTTGGCTGCTGCATAAATTAGTCTGCTCTGGAGCCCCATCCTTCCTGAGCGGAGACAAAAATGTGTGAGCCGGAGGCTAAAAAGCTCTGAGCTGGCTCACACTGACTCGGCTTAGAGGGAACACTGCTCCTAACCACTGCACCAGACTGGTCCTCCTCCTCCCACGGGGGGCTCCTCTGTAATTCCGCACACTTAGGGTTCCCTATTGTCTTTGTCAAACTCCCGGTGGCGGCTGGAGATCTCCCGGAACAGCGGGGACCCCCCCCAAGGCAACAGTCAATCCGTTCCCACGGAGAAAACGGCCGCTTTGGAGGGGTGGGGGTGGTCGCTACGGCATTACAACCCTGCCGAGGTCCCCCCTCCCCAAATTCTTTTCTCTCCCCAGACTCCCCCCTCCCCAAATCTCCCGGAGCGTTGGCAACCACGGAAACGGCGCCGCGCAGACTCCCTGGAAGCCTTAGGGAGAAGGGGGAGCCGCCCACGGGCCGGGGGGGCGTCTGCTCGAGGGAACCCCCCCTCCCAAAAGGAGGGTCTCGGGGGGGCTGCCACCCCTCCCCCACCGGTTCCGTCGAAGGGGGCGGGACGCCTCGGGGGGGGCGTCGTCGACGGGGCTTCCCACCCGCCCCCCACACGGGCGCCCGGGCCCCTCACCTCGGGGTCCCCGATGCGCCGCCTCGCCGACATCCTGCCCAACTGTCACCGCCGCCGTCCCTTCTGCCTGGCTCCGCCCCCTTCCTCGGCTCCCTCGCGCGTCCTCACCAATCCACGCCTTCCCCGGGCGCGGCCCTGCTTCGCGATTGGCCGGGGCCGGCGGGGAGGCGACCAATCCGGGCCGGCGCGCGCGCTGGGCCCCCCTTCAAGTCAACGAGCGGAGTTCTCTTGTTTTAAAAAAAGAGGTCCCGGCTCAAGCGGATTGTGAGAGGGGCGGGCGCGCGCGGGGCGATCGTGACAACGGGCGTCCGCGGTTGCTCGGCGACGCCGGACGCCTCCGCGGCGGGCTTGTCTTTAAAAAAAAAAACACAAAACGGGCGTTGTGACGTCATGGGTGTGTAGCGCGCCCGCCGAGTTGGTGTCCTTGCGCCGCAGCTCGCCGGCTCCGGGAGGGAGGGGGCACTCCATGAAACTGCAGAGCGGTCGGGTTAGAACGGATAAAAGGAAGTACTTCTTCACCCAAAGAGTGATTAACACATGGAATTCACTGCCACAGGAAGTGGTGGCGGCTACAAGCATGGACGGCTTCAAGAGGGAATTAGATAAGCATATGGAGCAGAGGTCCATCAGTGGCTATTAGCCACAAGGTATAGACAGGAACTCTTGGTCTGGGGCAAGTGATGCTCTGTCTTCTTGGTGCTTGGGGGGGGGGTCAACAGTGGGAGGGCTCCTAGTGTCCTGGCCCCACTGCTGGACCTCCTGATGGCCCCTGGTATTTCTGGCCACTGTGTGACACAGAGTGTTGGACTGGATGGGCCTTTGGCCTGATCCAACATTGGCGTCTCTTATGTTCTTATGTTCTTATGTTCAGGCAAGGCCTAGGGACAAAAAAAACAACAACAGCGGCCGAGAGGCTTTGGGTTGCCAACCTCCAGGGAGTGAACCACCAATGCAAACTATGCAGACAACCGTGATATCATTACTAAGATATTATTTTTTAAAATTTCTATCTAATTTACTATAAAGATTTTTAACATTAATAGAGACCAAAGAATTCCACAATACATATATTTCCTCTATAATGAGAATAAGTAAGGTTTCCCCTTGCTCGAATCCGACTCTAGGGTTGCAATGCTCATCTCCGTTTTCAAGGCGAAGAGCCAGCGTTGTCTGAAGACTTTTTCCGTGGTCATGCGGCCGGCATGACTAGACGCCGAGGCGCACGGAACGCTGTTACCTTCCCACCGAAGTGGTACTTAGAGATGTAAAATTTCCAGAAATTTTGAAGCTCGGAAAAAAATCCGTTTTCCCCCGGAAAAAAACGGAAATCTTTGGAAAAATTGAAAAAAATGCTACATTAGCACTTCTTTTTTCTTTTCCAGACTGAAAGTCATTTTGTTACTTTAGGAACATAAAATATGACTATGGACATTTTTACTTGGCATGAAATTATCACAACTAGCATATTAAAAATATAGTGTATCCAAACAATTATTACAAGCAGAATACCCACCCACATGCAAAAACAAAACAAACCTTTTTCTTTTCTTGTGACAATAGCACCTCCTAAAGGAAGAAATGCATCTTGTTCTTGCATTGGAGAGTTCAGTTGGTAACCTAGGACTTGCTTGTCCTCAGTGCACAGAAATTAGATCAATACATATTTCTTAGAAATTATCTGGAAAATATTTGAACACCTTGTCTTAAAATATTTTATTCATCATGTTAAAATAAAATGTTCCATAATCAATTTTTCTTTCTTTTCTTTTTTCAGTTTTTTTAAAAAAAACAAAAAAGGCTTCAGGAAAAAAACCTCCCTCCCCCCCGAATTTTCCCAGTTTTTTTCCAGGCCTCTACTTCAGAAGGCATTTAAATGCCTCCACTCGCAGCTGCTGGATGACCTTGGGCAAGCCATAGTTAGGCACTTAGGCCATATACCTGTAAACCGCCCAGAGACCCTCGGGTAAAGGGCGGTATACAAATCGAAGATATAAATACAGAAATAAATAAATAAATAGTTCTGAGCTTCAGTTTCATTATCTGGCCTTCCAGGGAACAGTCAGGGTTGATTTCTTTTAGGATTGACTGATTTGATCTCCTTGCAGTCCAAGGGACCCTCAAGAGTCTTCTCCAGCACCATAGTTCAAAAGAATCTATTCTTCGGCGCTCGGCCTTCCTTATGGTCCAACTCTCGCAGCCATACATGACTACTGGGAACACCATTGCTTTGACCATGCGGACATTTGTTGGCAGGGTGATGTCTCTGCTTTTTATCATGCTGTTTAGAAATTTAAATGCCCCCTGACTTTGAAAATCCTGGCTACGGGCCCGTGCAAGCTGGAGGCTAAAAAACTGTGAGCTAGCTCACACTCATACAGAGCCAGTTTGGTGTCGTGGTTTATGGGGTTAAGGTTCCCCATACATTCCCCAGAAAGCACTACAGTCGAGGTCACAACATCGATTGACCATTCCAGGCCCTAAGGGTGCCAGGCTCGCTGCCACCAGGGCCGGGGCCTTCTCAGTGGCGGCTCCATACTGGTGGAATGAGCTCCCGGAAGAGATCAGGGCCCTGCGGGACCTCTTACAGTTCCGCAGGCCTGCGAGACGGAGCTCTTCCGCCAGGCTTTCAATTAGGAGCCGCCACCCCACAACCACCAACATCTGTGGCTACAGATTGGCCCCAGCCCGGAGACTGCGCCACACCACTGCGCAATGCCGAAGGTCATGGAATCGGAAATAACTGGCTGTATACTATACGATATGCCATCTTAACTACTCAAGGACGATCCCCAGCACTAGCATTTTGATTATTGGACTGTTTTCAATGTTTGGAACGTTTTAATCTTTTGTATATGGTTTTACGGTACTGGGTGCCAATTAATGTAAGCTGCCCTGAGCCCGCTCGCAGGGAGGGTTGGGAATAAATAAATAAATAAGTACGTGGACTCTAATCTGGGAGAATCGGGTTTGATTCCCCACTCCTCCACTTGCACCTGGCTGGGTGACCTTGGGCAAGCCGTAGTTCTGACAAGAGCTGTTCTTGAAAAAGAGCCGTTTCTGTCAAGAGCTCTCTCAGCCCCACCTCCCTCACAGGGTGTCTGTTGTGGGGAGGGGAAGGGAAAGGAGTTTGAGACTCTGAGTGAAGGGCAGGGTATAAATCCAATCTCTTCTCTTCTTAGAGGGGACACTAGTCACGAGCAATCTGGGGTCTGCAGGTGGGGGGGCATCGCATGACCAGGGGTCCTTTCCTGCAGGAGCGCACAGGAGTGGAGCTCCGGCAGTGAAGAGCCCAGGGGGCGGGCACATGCAACAAGCCCCACCCCCTGCTCCCAGCAGCCCTCAGTCAGAGTAAGAAGCAGCCAGGTAAGTTGCAGAGCCCCCCCCGGCCCCCCCAGTCCAAAACAGTCCAGTGGCACCTTTAAGACCAAGTTTTATTCAGGTACAAGCTCTCCCTC